CAGGATGGGGGCATTTTACCTCCAGCCCCAGCAGCGTTACAGGGACCCCCTTAGCCCCCGCTTTGCCGCATCCGCCGGGCCATCGTCCCTCCTGGCTGCAAGGAGGGAGCTTCCACCTGGCTTGTGAGCGCATCCCTGGCTGAGCCTCCGCTCTCTGGCTCTTCTCCCCCCCCCAGACCTGCATGTGCTGCTCCTCGAGGACCTCTTGGTGCTGCTGCAGAAGCAGGACGAGAAACTGGTGCTTAAGTGCCACAGCAAGACGGCGCTGGGCTCTTCGGACAACAAGCAGACCTTCAGCCCCGTCCTCAAGCTCAACTCGGTGCTTATCCGCTCTGTGGCCACAGGTAGGGAGAAAGGCTGGCAGCGAGGACGGCCTGTCCTCGGCCACGTCCCACTGCGGTGACAGCCATGCCAGTGGGTTGGGTTAAGGCCCTCGCTGTGCTCTGACCTTCCTCATCGCTCTTGGTCACCCTCCTGCAGATAAACGAGCCCTCTTCATCATCTGCACGTCGGAGTTGGGACCCCAGATCTATGAGCTGGTGGCGTTGACCTCCTCCGAGAAAAACACGTAAGGCTCGGCGGGACGGGTCCCGGCAGCGCTGGGCAGCGGCTGCCCGGGGCGGGGGCTTCTCTGGGGGGCAGCAGCCCCCCCAGGAGCTGACGAGGGGCTCTGGGCCGGGCAGGTGGATGGAGCTGCTGGAGGAGGCGGTGCAGAGTGCCACAAGGAACGCCACCTTCCCCCCCAAGCGCCGGACGCCAGAGCCCAGCCGCGCAGCACCCTCTGGGTGAGCAGCCCAGCCCTGGCTGGGAGCCAGGGCCTTAGCCCAGTCCCGTGCTGGTGGGTGCTGGGGGCTGAGGCCAGCAGGCTGCTGGGTCTCTCCGGAGGGCGGTTGGGATGGGGACAGGGGTCCTCCCTGGTCACTGGGGACCTGGGGGTGGCTGCCAGGGCTCCTGGCAGCTTGGGTGGGGGCTTCGGCAGTGTCTGCCCCGGGGTCGGTGCTGCCTCCGAGCCCCTGGCTCCTGCCTAACACCCCTTCTCCGTCCTCGCAGCCTGGCGTTACAGGACCCCGACGTCTCCCCCATCCTCTCCCGAGGCGCCAGCTCTGGAGCAGAGGCAGAGGCAGAGGATTGCTCCTCGGGTGAGCTCCCCCGGCCCTGCCTGCTGCTCGCTGCCTGCACCCTGCCCGTCTTCGAGGCACGGGCCGTGGGTCTGAGCTCTCCCCTTCTCCCCGCAGCGGATGACAATCCCACCGTGCTCCTGGGCAGGGAGCAACCCCCAGCGCTGCTGGAGGAGCCGGTGAGCAGCGAGGTGGAGGAAGGGGAGGAAGAGCTGCCCGTAGCCCCCCTGCCCACGGGCGCTGGCGTGGAGGCAGCTGCCACCCTCCCGGCCAAGCGGCCGGGGCCCCCCATGCGTCTGCCGCTGCCGGGGCCCGTCGGCGCGGAGGGGCTGGCCGAGGCGGCGCTGGAGGATGGTGAGTGGCGCGGGGGGCTCCAGGGGGGAGGCCCCCCCAGGGTGCCAGCCTGTCCCTGAGGGAGCCGAAGCCCAAAACCGCCTCTTCCACCCCCTCCCCACGCTCCATCCCAGTGGAGAACCTGCGGCTCCTGATCCTACGGAGGCTCCTGCCCTGCCGGGACGCGGAGCCCGAGGACGACCTGACGCCCACGCCGTCGGTCATCGGGGGAGCCGGCCAGGCCTGGGACTCGGTGCTCTCCAGCCAGGATTCAGCCTCCCAGGAGGTGCTGGCAGAGCCCCCGAGCGCCGCCGAGGACACGAAGCTTCGCTCGGGCCGGGAGGAGACAGACGAGCCGGGTCCGGCTGCCGAGGAGCCGAGCGGCTACAAAGGAGGCCCGAAAGGGAAGAGG